TCGCACAAGTGGCTTTTCCTCGGCAGTTCTGGGATCCATGACCAAATCTCTGGCAGTTAAAACACCTGCGAGGATTTGGCACGTAGGGTCGGACTCTACAGTGAAGGTACCCAGCCTTCACAGCCTCTGGCAATGTAGTGGATTCAAAGGTAAGAACTATGTGCCTTGTTTTCCGTTCTTGGCCGTCGCGGCGCAAGGAGATACGCCTTGCCGCTACAACGCCTTGGTCGGAAAGTCCCTCAACTATTTCACTGTCTGAGGAGTCAAGGAGGTCATCCTCAGAAATGACCCCCTGGATGGTGTTTAGGGTGCGGTGAGGTGTAACTGTGATTTTCTGGTCAGATATGGAACTTAAAGCAACAAGGGCAGCACTCTGCTGGCTTGATTCGATTTCAACAAGCAGGTCGCCAGAGGGCAATTTCTTGGCCTTGAATTTCTTTCCGACAGTAGATTCAAGTATCTTGGCTACAAGGAAGGGAGAAAACTTTGATAGTGGTTTTTCAGTTTCAGAGTGCAGAACCAAGAACTTTGGGAACCTAGCAGGAGTAGATGGTGTGTTGACTGTGGTTGGAACTTCGGTGCGGCCCCTTTTCGGGGGCCGATCGAGGAAGGTTTTTGCACGAGAACCCATGACATGGGGAGGAACATTCAGTGCCCGGGTGCACCGCCCACCACGGAGCCCAACAAGGGGGTAGGTAATGTGCCATAGCAAGAAAGGCTTGGCTGACACAATTACACTACCAGTGCTGCCCGGGCACTATACCCTAGTGTGGTTGCAGGGAAAGGACCTGTTTCCACTCAAGGTTGGCCCTTGCCGCCTAAGAAGGTGAAAAAAGGAAGGAAGAGAGTGTAGAAGAAAAGAGAAAGAGGTGGGAGGAAAAGTGAAAGAAGGAAGAAGAGGGTAGAAGAGGCGACTGACTGAATCATCCTGGTCGGGCCAAGCCAGGATACCCGTCTACGAGAAGCAGAGGTCGAAGCGGTGTATTGCCTCACCCGGGGGGCCCCGAAGGGTCCAAACATACCCCGGGCTCAGCTCAACCACCAGGGTCCCCTTTTCCCCGGACACGGGTTAAGCCACGCACAGCCAGGCGTGGGTGGGTAAACCCACATAGCTCGGGGTTCGCGGTGGCGCCACTCACCAAGCACCTACCAAGGCAGGTGCCCCCTGCGTGCGGGTATGGTGGCCCACGTGGCTGGGGTCCGTGGTGACGCTACTCACCAAGCACCTAGCACCTAAGGTGCAGGCGCCCCCTGCGGGGCTCGGGGTACGTGGAGACGCCACTCTCCAAACACCTGCTTTCACAGGTGCCCCCTGCGGGGAACACGCTCCCGAGTGATACATGCGCCATCCCCCACTGCACCGCCGAAAAGGGTCACCCAAATGGAACGAGCTCTCCGCATCGCGCTTATAGCCTTTCCAGTCCAAATTGGTTTGCTCTTTATGTTTATACAGCCTTGATGGTGATGCGCCTCAACGGGTAATCGGTCTCTTAGCTGTAGATGAGAAATTTAGCCAGTGCAGTACAACCGCTAACCTGGGGTTTTTAACGTGCATCACGCAGTAGTGATCACACGAACACGTGCCGGTACGAAACTCATCCAGATCGAAACGGGCGGGGGCGGCGGGGATCGAACCCAGGAGGTTCCCAGCGGAAGCTTTCGCTCCATGCTCCGAGCTGAGACGCGTGGTGCACGACGTCGTCTTTATAACCCAAGGAGGATAGAAGGGTAGGAGAGGGCATGACGCCAGCCGCGTAGGCTCCACAAGCCATGCTCGCTTGACGCCTCGCCGCTTTCTCATTTTCCTCCTTACTCTCCTCACTTACCAGGGTAACGTGACCAAATCACGTGACCATAGCTAGCCTTCGTCTAGCCATGGGGTACTAGAATACCCCACAGTCTAGGTTTCGATGTGATAAAACCTACCGGACGGAGTGCGCGCAAGCCTGCAAGGAGTCCGTCTACAATCAACCATCCATCTCACACGTGACATGTCACGCGCACCAATTGCCACAGAGATTTATGGTCACGTTGGCCACAACATCGTTTAAACTTTTTATGACTAGGCTTCACCAATATTGCAACGTGCCCTCTCCTAGTACTTCCAACCTCTTTGTTATAACCAGTAATCTAACGGACATCCTTCTTTAGTATTCCAAATGAAGAAGAACGATTTTTGTTTGCTGACGAAAATAGACCACATATGTAATATAGACGCTTTGAGGCAGCTGCGCATGGACGCCGCCATAACCGACCTTCAGTTTTTGTTTCAACGCCCGCTTCAGTGGCCGCGGCATCTCGATAAGACAAAATAAGGTTGGTAATGGCAGCTCAATCTGGGGCGTGTTTAAAGCGTCTACATGTGTAAAAGTGTTGCCCCTACGCTCAAAGTATGTGCTGGGGACGCAGATAATAATAGATGTTTACTCTATGGTTTCGCAGAGTGGAGACCAATGTAGCAGCAGCGCAGCCTCAACGGACGGTAGTCTGCCAGTGGATGCTACAAATGATGATGCCTTTGATAAAGAGACAGCAACACATAGATCTGCACCAGATGAACCAGTGGCTCAAGGGGAACCTGTTGGAATTTGGCAGGATCTAACTATTTCACCATCCTCTAGCCAAGTAAGTATTTTTTTTTGCTTTTATTGCTGCAAAGTGTATTCTGTAAGCCTGCAGATAATACTATTACCTGGCACACTGCTTTTACAGAGCAGGGATCGAGTTTCTGAACCAGAAAGTAACAGTAGCACCGCCACAGCATGTGACGTTCTGTCAAAAGATGCTCCATCAGATGGCAACTTTGGACCAGACCTGGAGCCATCCATATGCCAGAGGTGTATGCATGTGCTAACAAGAGGTACATAATAAGCAAATTTTATAGATAAATCAACTTATTGTCTAATAAGGAAATGCCTTCATCACTCTCTTCCACTCTCACAAAAACTGGCCTGGTCTTCGAAGAGCGAGCTAGGCAGCGGTTCCTGGGACACGGCGTCTCTCCGACTGTTTTCTTAGGCAGTAGTTGACGTGGAGAACTGGTTAAAAGCGGTCGCCAGACCCGTCGACTGCGGACGTCGCCCCTTGGGCACGGGCATAGCCAGGGGGGGGGGGGGGGGCTTATGGGGCTTTAGCCCCGCCCCCCCACCCCCAAAATCCAGCCAACCCTATAATATACAGATACATTTTGACCATCTCCCCCCCCTCCCCGCGCCCCAAGTCATGGACATGACTTGGGGTGCACCTGGAACACCACACTACGGCGAGGCGAATCCGAGGCACTTCGGCTCCACCTCGCAAGCCCTGTTGTGCTGGACAGCTTCAGTCTCTGGTACGGTCTATTCCTTTCGTTGTACTTGAAAAGTCGTGTGCATTCAAGCCATATTGTGTGCCTTGTTTGAGTTTTGTATATTGTTATGTGTGTTTTTTTATCAAAGCAATATCAATAAAGTAAATGTGCTATATTACCATACTTGCCCCAGAGTTCTAGTCTTAGTCTTCTGCGTCCTGTAAACCACGCCTTGTGGGATAGCGGTTGTACAAACCTCTCTTGCGGCCCACGCCACCACTACCCAGTTTTGACTAGGGCCGTGGTGGCTCGGGTCGCAACGGGAAGGGGTTCGGACGTCTGCTACCCCACAAGGTGTGTGCTTAGAGGACGCGGAGGACAAAGACAAGAACTCCAGAGCGAGTATGATAATATAACACATTTTCTTTAGCGATACTGCTTTGATAAAAACACAAATATATAAAACTTGGAGCAAGGGATACAATATGGCTTGAACTAATGAATACAGGACTTGTCAAGAAAGTGCAAGAAACGTAGCAGACCGTACCACACACCGAACCAGTCCAGAACGACAGGACTTGCGAGGTGGAGCCGAAGTGGTGCGGTGCTCCAGCTGCGGCACAAGGCTGATGACAGCACGTCGCTCTGGGGCAGTAAGGCAGAGGAAGAACTTGCAGGGCTGGCGCACGGAGATTAGCCTCTCGTTGCCCAGACTAAGCCTTCTGCAGTGCCCAAGGTGCAGCATCCGCAGTCGACGGGTTGGCGACTGCTGGCAACCAGTTCTCCACGTCGGCTACTGAATAAGAAAACAGTTGGAGAGGCGCCGTGCCACAGTAATTGTTGCCTGGCTCGCTTTTATAAGACCAGGCCGGTTGTTGTGACTCTCTATGTAATATCAGTTGAGTAGGAGTACTAAATATAACGTTTTTGATGTTCCAGGAACACAGACACTGTACGCCGACAAGACTACAAACAGAGGAATTTTCCGAGACCTCCGCTGGAATTAAAGCTTCGACAATGTCCTTGGGCATGTGGACATGGTGGTTTGAAGAACAGTTGCATCTATAAAATAAAATTGTGACTCAGTTTCTAATGCAGTACACCTCTGTTGCAGATTCGTTGAACCAAAGTACTTATCCCGACAGTTCACCCATGTTGGGAGTGCTTGACCAAATCCCTTTGAGGAATGAAACTGGCAGTGGAGATCCCCAAAGAGCTGAAGAAACCTCTGCAGAGGACGAGCAACACTTAACGCAGTGGTGCTCCTCACCTACAAGTGATGAAATCCCAAGCCCTTTGTCAATAAACCTAGACGTCACTCCTGGACTTCAGGAACCTCGGGCTGCTCCTTTGGACACCAGCTACACGCAGAGTGACTCCACTGACTCCGAGGGCGAGCCAGACATGTTGGATGCAAGCTACCAACCTGACGACTCAATGAACTATGACGACAATCTGAATTCTTTCAACTACAGTAGATGGTCCAATGACTCTGTCAATTCTGACGATGGCACAGATCTCGAGTACGTGCCCATTGTATCATCTCAGAAACCATAATCGTGGGCTATAAGATCAAAATAGTTAGTGTTAAGTTGTGTGTAAAGAACTGAAAAAGAGTAACAGTAGGGCGGGAGAGGGTTAGCAAAAGAACAGATTTTCAGATTTACATGATTAATTGTTGCTTTTGTTTTTTCGTTGTTTAACAGGGAGGGAGCATGCAACACCTCTTCAGCGACAGCGGACCTGGTGAAAGAGACCAAGTACTTAGTCTGTGCCTCGCAGCTCCTCCTGCTGCTTTCTGTTTGCATAAATTGCTTGGCCCCAACACGCACCAAGCTCACGCATCGGGGGACCCTGGTGCATGCTGTAATTACGTGTGCACGAGGCCACAGAACTGTTTGGGAAAACCAGCCCCGACTCAACGGCAAGGCGCTCCTGAACATCCTCCTGCCTGCTGCTATAACATTCTCTGGAGCCAGTTCTACACGAGTCCTTCGCCTTCTGGCATCTATATGCATCGCAGTTCTAAAGAAGTCTCAGTTCTTCAGAGTTCAAAACTGCTTCATGTTCCCCGCTGCTACAAAGGTGAGTGCAACTGACTATAGTCGGTGACAACTCAAGAAGGTAGGGCGAGGAAACGGAAGGATGAAGAGGAGGAAGTAAACGCAACGCTGGCAAGCAGAGCAGACCCCCTCCCTTCGCCAGCATTGTGTCTGCTTCCTCCTCTCCCACCTTCCTTTTCCTCACCTACCTTCGTAACCTGCAACATACTATACCAAATTGTCGGTGCAGTGGTCAAGTTTAGTGATTGAGCATTACATTGAGTTTTTTTTTTTTTTGTTTCAGATTTGGGAAGCAGTCCCTTGTGACAGCTATGAACAGCAGCCAGCTCCATTTTGCAGGCGATGGGCGTGCCGAATCCCCCGGCTACTCTGCCAAAAAAAAGTACACGTTACTTGACTCAACAAGGTCATGCACTTTGAGGTTCTCCAGGTAAAAACTGGCTAAATTGAAGATGCTGTCCTTGTTACATTGCAAAAAAATGATTTATGTATTTCACTGCCTTTGTTTCCACTCCAGTCGACAGAAGTTAAATCAAGCAACCATATGGAGATGGCGGGCCTCAAACGTTCGCTGGAATTCCTCTTGAGCAGGGGACTCTCTGTGCATGTGCTCGTCACCGACCGGCATATTGGGGTGAATGCCTTCATGAAGGACACATACCCTGACATCAAGCACCGGTTTGATGCTTGGCACATCGCAAAAAGGTAACGATATTTGCAAACTGCAAATTAACATTCGTTGGTTTACTCTGGGGACAATCTCGGATGAAACCCAGCTCTTTTAACAAACATCATATTTTGATTTTCAAGTCTTTATAGAAGAAAATATTATAAGAAAATTTCTTTGAATTTACCAAAAGTATGGAAATATCAGTTTGAATTATTGCGAGCCTACTGTACTTAGGTTCACTCACTGTATACACCAACTTTTGCTTACAAACAAACCAGCGCATGCCCTACCACCTCTGGTAGGCTGCCATTGAGGTCGCAATGCATGGACATTTTCTGATTTCTAGGCATTCGGAGCAAAGTGGCCACGGCGGGCAAGACCAAAAAGAACAGTGCCTTGAATGCATGGGTCAAGACTGTGCGTGCACATGTCTACTGGTGCGCCCAGACAAGCAACGATGATGGCATGCTGGTGCTTGCAAAATGGGTGTCAGTGATGCGACATGTCATAAATGTTCACCAGCACCCTAGCCCACAGTACCCTGCTTGTATGCATAGCCCAATCGAGGACCGCTGGTGGCTTCAGGAAGGTAATGTAGATTTCCTTTCAAAACATACATAACATTCTTTCAACTCTAATTGTCAGCTAAGCTTCTTATCCTGGATTCATGAAATAATGCATAACAACGAAGCAAGCACATAGAGCTGCGGTATGTAACTTGCAAAAAATTGAACAAAAAGGCAATTCTGCGTAATGAAAAATTTTGTGGGTACAAAATTCCTGGCCGCATATCGAAGTTACACTAATGTGAATGTGTGAAAGGTTCAACCCAGCTTGCTACATGCCTTGCACACGTAAAGTTGCAGCTGCAGCTCCTGTCCAGTCTAAGAAAAAGAACTATTGATAGACAGCAAGGAATTCTATAATGGATGCAGTCCTGCCCATTTATTTTGGTTCTGTTTTTGAGTGCAGGGACTGAGCCATACATGGCGCTAGAGAAGATCATGATGGCCAAACAGCTGCTGAAGGACATCCCAAGGCTGTCTGGAGAGGGCCAGACCTTCGGCCTTGAGTCCTTCCACAGCCTGATGCTCAGATTTACTCCAAAGTCCACACATTTCAGCTTTGAGGGCATGGTGGCACGGTAGGCTGGAATTTTGATATTTGCTTGAGCCATATGCTGAGGACATGCATTTACAGATAATCTGTGCTCCCCATTCATGTCACCTTCACATGACTTCTATTGCCGTCTTTCATTATAACGAAAACTCCAACCGGATGCAAGCCACCACCAAGGAAAAGAAGAAACGGTTCTCCCTGAAATACCCAAAGTCGAAAAAGGGCGAGTGGGTCCTCTGCAAAATCATGGAGCCTCCGTCATATGGTAAGCACAGATGCCTTTATGGAGACATTAGTTGTAGGCTGACTATCACACTCTTCTCGCAGACTATGTCCAGAGGCTCCTCAACTCCTGCCTGGGATCAGCAGAAGCTTCTCGGACGTACATGGAGGCCGCAGCTGTTAACGGACCCCGTCCTCATCAGCCACCTCTCTGCAGCGTGGCGCAGAGGCCCAACAAGGAGGCTGCAGTGTCTGCTCACAGGACTCGCT